TACATCACAACACACACAACATACAAACCACACACCACACCCTCCACACACATCACACACCACACATACCACACACACAACATACACATAACACACATACTACACACACGCAACCCACACACATCACACACAATATACGCCTGCACAGAACACACACAGGCACATCACACACCAACACACACAATACCAACATACCACAAACACACAACCCACACATCACACCACACCATACACACACCTAACACACAACATACACTACACACCTGCACACATCACAACCCCCAAACATCAGTGTACACATACATCACACACAATACCCACACATCACGCACCACATATACACACCACACACAACCCCCACACATCACACACCATATATCACATAAGCACACACATTACATGCCACACATATCACAGCACACATACACAACACACATATCACAACCCCTACACATCACACACCACATGCACACCATACACACAGCACACCACACCATACAAACAACACGTATCACACATACACCCCCACAGACATCCTACATCATACACACATCACGTAGCACACACACACACCCCACATGCCGGAAATGCTCCCCAAATTCAGATATGCAAATATCTGTATACATACAAGATTCTACAAACACACACAGACTGGCTCACACAGATACACACTTGTATGGATAGACGTATGTGTACATCCACACAACCCCCCCAGAGCACCCAAATACACACATAGACATATTCACATTCACACACACACACGCAGTCACACACCTATCCCATCACTCCAAATCCATATACAGACACCTGCACAGACAAACGCAAATATGTGCAGAGATACACAACACACCTACAAGATTCAAAAATATCCTCAGTACCCATCTACAAACACACCAGTCCGACATCCACAGACACACAGACCCTATGCAATCACAAACACCCAAACGCACACGTACACAGCGTACCGCACAGCCTGGGAGGCCCGCCAGCAGCTGGTGGACGGGGCAGAGCTGCCGTGTCCCTGTGCTCACATCCAGGGAGAGGCCTGGAGACCCTGCCACCCTCTGCAAGGGTCTAGCAAAGTGCCACCTCCTGTGGGAGGCCACGGACACCTGGCCCCTCAGAAGTGCCTGGGTCGATTCACAGCAAGTGCCAGGCAGCCTGGCTTAGGGGCCACACTGACTCACCCTGGACAGGAGTGTGTGAGCACGTGTTCCAGTGTGTGTTTTACTGGGGGAGTGTAGGGAGCTGTGGCAGCAGCAGCATCAAGATGAAAAGAGACAGTGTACCTTCTATATCAGCCTGCCTGCCTCCCTCCCTCTCTCCCTTCCTTCCTCTGCTATTTAATAAGGACCTTTAGTGAATGGGGCAAAACCAAGACACAGCCTCTGCCTTCCAGGAGTGCAGTCTCGGTGTGAGCAGACATGCCTGGGGTTGAGTTGTTGTAAGATATATTGTGATCATTGCTAGGAGACCTCAGGGAGACCTGGCTTCCATCTGGGGCTGTGGGACATTGAACAATCATGTCCTTCTCTGAGCCTCAGCTTCCTCAGCTGAGAGACAGACCACACATCCCTGAGCACCTGTCGGGTTTGTTAATAGAATCAAATGTCATGATGAAAGTGGAAACGCTTTAGGGGGAAAGGGACATTTTTCTTTTTTTTCTTTTTTTTTTTTTTTGAGACAGAGTCTTGCTCTGTCGCCCAGGCTGGAGTGCAGTGGCCGGATCTCGGCTCACTGCAAGCTCCGCCTCCCGGGTTTGCGCCATTCTCCTGCCTCAGCCTCCCGAGTAGCTGGGACTACAGGCTCCCGTCACCTCGCCCGGCTAGTTTTTTGTATTTTTTAGTAGAGACGGGGTTTCCCCGTGTTAGCCAGGATGGTCTCGATCTCCTGACCTCGTAATGCACCCGTCTCGGCCTCCCAAAGTGCTGGGATTACAGGACATTTTTCTTAAAATAAGAACCAGGTGTGTGTTAACCTGTGCATCAGATCTGTGATGTGGGAGGGTGCGTAACTGTGTGGGCCCTGGAGTCAGGGAGGCCTGGCTGGGTTCAGATCCCTGCTTTGCCAGGACTAGCTGTCTAAGCTCCAGTTTGAGATTCTATTTTCTCATCTCTAATATAGATGTAATAATAATAATATCCAATTTACATGAGTGCTATGAGATAACACATGTTAAGCTCTTAGAACAGGGCCTGCCGGCCAGGCATGGTGGCTCACGTCTATAATCCCAGCACTTTGGGAGCCTGAGGCGGGTAGATCACGAGGTCAGGAGATTGAGATCATCCTTGCTAACACGGTCTCTACTAAAAACACAAAAAATTAGCCAGGCGTGGTGGCGGGCGCCTGTACTCCCAGCTACTCGGGAGGCTGAGGCAGGAGAATGGCGTGAACCCAGGAGGCGGAGCTTGTAGTGAGCAGAGATCGCACCACTGCACTCCAGCCTGGGCGACAGAGCGAGACTCCGTCTCAAAAAAAAAAAAAAAAAAAAAAGAACTGGACCTGTCCCAAAATACATGCTCAATTAAGCTCCTGTTCTATATAAGCTCTCATGTATTCAAACAACAAACACTTACTGAGCGCTCTCTATGAACCAGGCATGATTCTAAGTGCTCTCCAAATTCTAACTCATTCAATCCTTTGAACAACTCTATTATTATCGCCTTTCTGCAACCAAGAAAACTGAGGCACAGAGAGGTCCAGTCACTTATTCAAGGACACACAGCTGATAGAAGGCAGAACTGGACTGCAACCCGGGTCTGTGGGACCCTCTGAATCTATCTACAAGACATGTACTTCCCTTTTATACTTCAAAATCCTCCTCCCCTCTCACCAGCACCTGTTAAATAAATCATCCAGTAACGGTTTCTAATTCCCAGACTTGGTTGCAAATGAATTATTCACATGGTAAGGCCTGCAAACTGCCGGCTGGGCCTCATTACCCAAGAAAGGCCGCCCGCCCGCAAGATGCCGCTCCCTCCCCTGGGCACGGGTCCTGGTGAGCTGGCCAGAGGCAGCCAGAGTTGGTGGGCCCTGCTCCGGGAACTGCGAGGAGCGACTTTCTTTTCCTTCCCCCCGGCCCTTGCTTTCTAATAAGCTCACAGTCTGATGTTGCTGAGAGACCATAAGCTCTAGACTCAGCCAGTCCTGTGTTCCAATCCTGGCTCTGTCCTGAGCAGCTGTGTGACCTTACGCAGGTGGCCAGCCCTCTCTGAACCTCTGTGGGAAGCTGAGCGACGGGCCCACACAATGGGGCACAGGGCGCCACTTCACACTTCCTCTTCTTCCTCCATTTGCAGGCCGAGGCTTGTGCGGTCCCTCCAGGTCCTGTGCTAGATGCTGGGGACAAAGACCCTGTCCTGTGGGGACATCCAGTGTCTGACTGAAACACTGGTGTGAGTCTGAGCCTTGGGGTGGGTTGTGGGGACTACTCTGCGCTCCAGAGCCCCTCTTCAGGGCTGAGCTGTGGGGACTGCTGTTACCTCCCTGGGTTACGCCCCCTGCCAGGGACAGCCCGTGGCCAGTGCCTCACCCATGTGTGACTGCAGAGGCACGGCTCCTTCTCAACTGGGAAACTCTAGGGGATCATCAGCTCCAGGGGTCCTCGTAGGGACCTCAGTTGCAGCCTCACGGTGGGTCAGTCTCCTGCCCAGTCAGCCTTGCTCCTTCCTTCCAGGTGGATCGCCCAAGGACATGCCCCCAAGAAACACACACGCAGTCCAGAATCTGTCTCCAGGAACTCAGGCTGAAATACTTGTCACAGACAATCCTGGCATTGAATGAGAACCAACCCGGGTCATCCGCAGACTCCTCATTCCCAGGCAGAATGAACCTCAATATTGCTTCCAGACGGAGCCTAGTTTCCGCCCCGGTCTAAGCTCAGATCCTAGTCCCAGACTGCGCCCAGGCCTCCCGTGGAAAGCAGAGGGCCATCTGAGACAGAACAGAGAGAGGCCGCGTGGGAGGTAGAAGATTGGGGTGTGGCTTACACTGAGAACTGAGCCAGACTCACCCGGTCAGCCAGGAAGTCAGAGTCACGGAACCTCGATTCACAGAGAGGTATTTAAAAAAAAAAAAAAAACAAAACACCTAAATAGGTTCTTCTTTATGGAAGAAACAAAATCTACCATGACTGACAAGAAAAATCCTAATAGCTGTGGGCACCAAGCCATGGGACCTACTTCCAGGTGCCTCTGCTTCCTCGGGACAACCCCATAGAGTTCTATTACCACCCATTTCATTTTATTTCAATGCTTTATTATTGTGTTGTATTATATTGTATTTATTTTGAGGCAGGGCCTTGCTCTGTCACCCAGGCTGGAGTGCAGTGGTACAATCCCAGCTCACTGCAACTTCTAACTCCCAGGCTCAAGTGATTCTCCCGCCTCAGCCTCCCAAGTATCTGGGACCACAGGTACATGCCACTACACATCATCAGTTTTATTATTTTTTGTAGAGACACAGTCTCCGTATGTGGCCCAGGCTGTTCTCAAACTCCTGGGCTCAAGCGATCCTCCCACCTTGGCCTCCCAAAGTGCTAGGATTACAGGCATAAGCCGCCACAGTCATCCTATATTATAGTGCATTTTATAGACGAAGAAGCCAAGGCTCAGAAGCATGCATGACTTGGCCTCTGGCCCACACTGTATTTCTACAGGATCTAGACTCAATCAGAGGCTCATCTCCCAAAGAGAGACCCATAAGGAGCATCCAGGCCCCTCTGTCACCTGAACTAGCGAGTCACCAAGTTCCTAAGTCTTGCCCAGGGCAGCAGGGGTGTCAGGGGGAAGAACAGTGACTGGAGCATGAATCTGTGCAACTGATCCAGCCCCAACCTCTGGCAGGCCCTCATTCCCTTCTGGGTCTCCCAATTCATATCATTGGATGCTCACAGTCATCTTCTCAAGGTAGGCACTATGATGTAGACATGGCATAGGTGAGGAAACTGAGCCCCCCAGAACGGGATCCCACCTGTCTGGGCTCACAGAGCTGAAACTCACCTCTGGAATTTCTGATCCTCGGTCTTCCCGCCTCTGCTGTTCTATATGGAAGAACAAAGGCCACTTCCCCATGTGCTCCGCACCACGGATTCTTCATGCATCCGTCCATCCACCCACACAGCAGCTGTGTGGCAAGCGTCTCCTATGCACCAGGACTGGGCTGGGTGCTGGGGACTGAGTGGGGAAACCAGAGGCAGAGCCTGGCCTCACAGAGTGTCCAGGCTGGCATGGGAGCCACGCAGTCAGTAAACGTGCTCACAAAAAAATGAATGCATCTCCATGTGCTAAGCACTGGGGAGAAGCAGCCTGGGAGATCATGAGTGGTGTGACAAGGACTCTCTCTCTCAGGAGTGTTCTCTGTGCTCCAGGGAACTCGTGGGCAGAAAATCTGCAGAGATGGACCCTGTAGGCTTGGCCTCGGGGGACAGAGGCTATGAGAAAGGGTGAATTATGCCCCAAAGGAGTCAGCTTGCTTGCAGAGGCTGCAGCCACCCCACTTGGCTCCTCCAAGGAGATGGGGTCCTGGGGGCTTGGCTGCAGCGGGAGATAAGTGAGGAGTTTATTGAAAATCTACCCCAGATTCGCTTTGTGAGGCATCCCAGCTGGGGCCTGAAGCCTCCAAGAACTATATTAGAGCTTTAGGAGAAATAACGAGAAAGATTATTTCAGGAAGAGGGAACGGCATGAGCATACGGCTGGAGGTGGAAAACAGTAGGCAGACCCAGGAAGGTGGAGCAAAGAGAGAAAAAGGAGGAGAAACTGGGTCCCGGCCCTCAGGGATTTCATGGCACCCTGGGGAGGCTCGGTTCCCACCGTGCACCAGTAACAATAATCGCTGCCCTGTTGCAAGCTGACCCTGTGCCCAGAAAGGGCCATGCATGATCTCACTGCATCCTCTCTAGGTCCAGGAAGATGGTTACTGCCAGGTCCCACTTTGCAGATGAAAAACCAAGATCAGAGGGGTTAAATCTGTTACCCAAGCATGCAGTATTAGTAAGTAAAGGGTCAGCCTACAATTCCATGGTGCCGGGCTTCACAGCCCCTGCCCTTAACACTCCCCTATGTGCCCACAAAACAATCGGAGGAAATCTGGAGGTGATGGGCAAGGCCCATGCCTGCTCCACCCATGGTCTTGTCTGTCTCTCCTACTGAGCTGAGAGCTAATTTACCTCCGTCACCGCAGAGCCCCGCATGACACTAGGCACGGAACTGGTGCTTAGGAAATATCGTGAATAACTCATCATCATAAGAACAAACATTTACAATGTGCTCACCGTGGGCGGTGTAACCATAACCCTGTGAAATCTATATGGTCATTATTCCCATTTCACAGATGGGGTAACAGAGTCGCAGCAAGTAGTGAAGCTGTGATTCACCAGACAGCAAGTAAATTAACAAGCTAATTAACGAGTGAGCGTAATGATGAATTAATGAATGAGAGTAGAGGTGAGTAAATAAGTGAGAGGTTGAGGCCGGGCAAAGTGGCTCACGCCTGTAATCCTAGCACTTTGGGAGACCAAGGCGGGTGGATCACCTGAGGTCAGGAGTTCGAGACCAGCCTGACCAACATAGTGAAACCCAGTCTCTACTAAACACAAAAAATCAGCCAGGCATGGTGCCTGTGATCTCAGCTACTTGAGAGGCTGAGGCAGGAGAATCGCCTGAACCTGGGAGGCGGAGGTTGCAGTGAGCCAAGATTGCACCACTCCAGCGTGAGCAACAAGAGTGAAAACTCCATCTCAAATAATAATAATAATAATAATAAGTGAGAGGGTGAAGATGAGGTGTAGGTCTTGGCGAGGTGGAGGCCCTTCTTTCCATCCCCACCTTGTTCCCCTCCAGCCCCCAGGGGAAGGCCCCTTTTAGTTTCCTCTCAGGGTGCCTGATACTCTTTGCCAGACTGTTGCCTAGCAACAGTGCTCTCTACGGCCAGCTCCACCCATTTCAGATGCCAAGGCTAGGGGTACACAGCCAGCTCCCAGGGCCCGGCCCCCGACAGGCAGGGAGTGGGGGGCCCTGGGCTCCCAAGTTGGGAGAAGGAGGTCAGAGAGCAGAGGGGAGCCTGGGTGGGCTGTGAGACTGGAGGCAGTGACCCGCAAGGAAAGGGAGTGTGTCCTGGGCACCAAGCCATGGGATCTAGTTCAGGGTCCCTCTGCTTCCTCAGAACACCCTGTGGGGTTGCATGATCACTCACGTGACAGATTCTGAAGGCAACTCTGCCTTGTGTAGGGGAGGGAGGCCATGCCAGGCTGCGCGTAGCAATAACCACGGGGCCTTGAGTCTGAAGTCTGAGTTTGAGTAGAGCTGGGATGAGTCACTTCCCTTCCCGAATCCACTTCCACACCGGTAGAATAGAGACATGGTACCCACTTCCCGGGGAACTGGGTGAGGATAGAGCAGGAACATGGAAAGGCTTGGTATTGGGAGGGTACGGATTATTTTTATAAGCAAGGAGTGTGAAATCTATTTTTAGAGGAGAAAGAATTTCGGTACAGAGAACTCTCCTAGTCCCCTCCCAGAGAGGATGGGCTGAGGTGCGGGGGAGCGGTAGGCCTGGAGGACTCCCTGAAGAGGTGGCCTGGGGATTCCTGGCGGAGGGAACGGCCTGTGCAAAGGCCTGGAGACACGCGACTGAAGCGCGCCTAGTAATAGCTGCCGTGGATTTATGGGCCTTTACACTGAATCCTTGCGGCAGCTCCAGGACGCTGGAGTTAGTGCTCCCGTCTCACAGGAAAGGAAACGTTGTCTCAGAAAGGTAAAGAAACTGGCTTGAGGTCACGCAGCTGGTGAGTAACAGAGCTACGTCCAGTTCGCTTTCCCCTGGTTATGCACGGAGAGAAGAAAGTGGCTCAGATGCGGGGAGTGAAGAGAGCCAGTGGCGAGAAACGCAGCTACGAAGCGCAGTGTCATTCCTGCATGTAATCCTTTTCGGGAGGGCCTGGACCCACGGCGAAAGAGCCCGGGCTGTGGGCAGAGGGTAACAGGGAGCTAATGATGGCTTCTGAGCTGAGAGATAAGTGACCCAGGCCGTCCCTCGGTGCTGTCCTGGGCCATCTGGCTCCACCTCCTACACTCTCCACTCTCTGCATCCATCCACCTCACCCTCCACCCCCGCTGCTTCTCAACCACACTGAGAAACCATGTGTGACGGTGGAAAATGTAAAAATATATATGCAACCGAAAAACAACATCGGGCTGACAGCACACAGCTATAAATACTCTGACGGGTGCAGAAACGCTCCTCCGATCCTGCTTCCTGCCGCCTGAGGAGCGGGGGCATGGTGTTTGACAGGTGGGGTGGGGGGGACTCAGGAAGGGATAAGGAAAAGGGACGACTATTTGTGGACCTACTCTGTGCCAAGCACTTCCCAAGCGTTACGTCACCGAGTCTTCGCAGAACCCTCGAGTGAATCACTACCGTTATCCCCGTTTTACAGACAAGGAAACCGAAGCACAGAGAGGCAGGCAGGCCATCTGGCTGAGGTCACACAGCCCCGCGGGGAGAGAGCAGTGAAGGTGGAGTTCCAGCAAGCTCCACCTGGTGAGAATTCGAGCCCTGCCATGGGCCACCTCTCTGGAGGAAGAGAAAGCCAGCTTCAGGCTCTACCTCTCTCAATCATTATGTAAGGCCAGAGAGCGCTGGAGGCTTCCAGGCACTCCTATGCTTACACACCTTCCATGGCTCCCAGCTGCCCTCCAGATAAAGAACAAACTTCTCAGTGTGGCCCCTGAAGTCCTGTGATCTGGCCTCTGTCCACCACCAGGGCCCACCTCGTGCCAGATCTCTGAGCCTCAGCCACGCTGACCTGCTTCTCTCAGGGCCTCTGCTGTTCCCTTGGTCCAGCATGCTGTTCCCCTCTAGTTGCTTCTCCTTACCCTGGGGGCCTCCACTCAAATGTCGACTCCTCCACTGGCCGGACATTGCCATTAACCTGCTCAAGTGCTTTCCCTGCAAAACTTAGCACAGGCCAGGCACAGTGGCTCATGCCTGTAATCCCAGCACTTTGGGAGGCCAAGGCAGCAGGACTGTTCGAGCCCAGGAGTTTGATACCAGCCTGGGCAACAAAGTGAGATGCTGTCTCTATTTTTTAAAAAATTAGCCGGGCATAGTGGAGCACACCTGTAGTCCCAGCTACTCAGGAGCTTAAGACGTGGGGATGGCTTGAGCCCAGGAGTTCGAGGCTGCAGTGAGCTATGATCGTACCACTGCACTCCCACCTGGGTGACAGAGCAAGACCCTCAAAAAAAAAAAAAAAAAAAAAAAAAAACCCATAGTACAATTGTAATCATGTGGGTCACTGTGGGGTGGCGGGTCACAGCTGGTGAGTGGCAGAATCAAGACCAGGTCCAAGTGGTACAGCCACAGAGCTGGTGCCTCCAAGTACTTGGCTGTTCACACAGGCCCAGAGAGGCCTCCTCGCTGGCAAGAGGAAGAAGCCACCTCCTCTTGGAGGAATGAGCAGGGCTACAGTGGCACAATCACTGCTCACCGCAGTCTTGAACTCCCCAGCTCGAGCGATCCCTCCACCTTAGCCTCCCGAGTAGCTGGGACTATAGTCGTGTGCCACCACGCCTAGCTAATTTTTTCTATTTCTTGTACAGATGGAGTCTTCCTATATAGCTCAGGCTGGTCTCAAACTCCTGGACTCAAGCAATCCTCCTGCCTCAGCCTTTCAAAGTGCTGGGATTACAGATATGAGCCACCATCTCCTGTAACCACTGTTTAAGAAAGTAAAAAGATGCAGAAGTTAATCTAATGTTTTGTTTAACCCAATATACTCCAAATATCATTCCTACATGTAATCAAGATAAAAAGTTATTAATGACTGGGCGCCGTGGCTCACACCTGTAATCCCAGCATTTTGAGAGGCCGAGGTAGGCAGATCATCTGAGGTCAGGAGTTCAAGACCAGCCTGACCAACATGGTGAAACCCCGTCTCTACTAAAAATACAAAAATTAGCCAGGCTTGGTGGCACATGCCTGTAGTCCCAGCTACTCAGGAGGCTGAGACGGGAGAATTGCTTGATCCTGGGAGGCAGAGTCTGCAGTGAGCCAAGATTGCACTGTTGCACTCTAGTCTTGCACTCAGAGCAAGACTCTGTCTTTAAAAAAAAAAAATTATTGAGATATCTTACTTTTTTCTTCCATACTAAGTCTTCAAAATCCAGTGTGTATTTCACACTCGTGTCACATCCATCTCAGGTTGGAACAGCTGCAGTTCAAGTGCTCAACAGCCACATGTGGCCAGAGGCTACTGCATTGGGCAGCACAGTGCTAGACTAGAAACTCCATGAGGGCAGGGACCACAGTCATACCTACAATTATTAAATCTAGCATCTGACAGAGTGGACACTCAGGAAATGTTTGTTGACTAGCTGAATGAAAGGATGAACGAACAAATGAAGGAAGGAATGAACAAATGGTCTAAGGCCTCCTCAGATCTGAAGCCACACTCCTAGCACAGGCCATGGGAAGGGCATGGAGATGAATTCTAGCCCCACCTCTGCATCCACTTCTCTGA